TGTGTGTGTGTGTGTGTGTTATGAGTAGGTCGGGGAGCTATTCCGATCATAGTATATCCATCAATAGAGGCTTGTAGACATATCATGTCAGTTAGTGTAGTATGTTGGTCTTGCAGACCTTGTATGTATATTTGTTTGGTTTGTCAGCTATAATAATTATGATGGCTTCAGGCCAGTTTTATATTGACATTTAGTCAGCATTCGCAATTGTCTAGCAATGTGGCCCATGGCCAAAGTATGACATCATATGTTCAGAGTCCCTTAGTTGCAACTTGGTATGCAAGGATAGGTGAGGCACCGGGTGCCAGTCTCACCCCCAGGTTCGGGGCGTGATAGTAGTTTATTAATATTTCTTAAAAAATTTCATAATTTTATCTTTTAACGTTTTATTTCAGGCTTGGACTTATAATTTTTGAATGCTCCAATAAGTTTTGTAATTTAAAAGTGTTAGTAACTCACAAAATCCCAAACCAATATCAAATCAATATTAATAGTTACAAAAGACATTGGATTAAATTGTACTTGGAATGACAATAGTGTTGGATATATATATTTTTTTAAGTTTTCCATGGTTTAGAGAAAATGCACAACTTATTTTTTTAGTGTTTACTCATGTAAATAAAAGTAGTACTTATTAGTATAGATGTCAATATGGGTCCCAGCCCAGCCCACATGGGCTTTAGCAATAGACGGGCTGGGCTGGGCTAGCCCACCATTTTGATGGGTCTTATAATGGTCAGCCCACCCCAGCCCTATGTGGGTCGCGGGCCCCCACGGGCCGGCCCATCGTGTTTAAAAATATAATTTTATATTTTTTCTTTAAGCTCTGACCTAAAAAAAGATAATTATTTAAAGTTAAAAAATATCTTATTGGAAAAAATTCGCAAAGCTTAATAACTTTTATAATGTTCCAATATATCACAATAAATACTAGACAAAGTAAAAGACAGGACTATATTTCATTCACTAAAAGTCAAAACTTAAAACAAACTATTCAAGAGAACATTCATGATGCTTATGAGATATCCAGCACATCATCTTCATCAAAACACATTTGAATCCGCTTGTGACAAGGTTGTCTTAACATCTTCACTTTCATCTACAATTCATATGCAATATTAATTAGTTAAATATTAAAATAATTAAATTTTAAAAATTAATAATATTTAAATTCACATAAAAAAATATTACAAGTTTGAGTTCGGGAAACTTGTGCAACCAATTTCAAGTAGTAACAAGTGTTTGGACATTTTCATAATAAATGCAACTTCTGTACTTTGTAAGAACATGCCACCAATGCTAAATGTTGATTCCGATGGTACAATGGTAATAAGAATGCTACGTACATCACGCACCATCATTGAAAGATCGGGATATTTTCTAGAATGGTCTTTCTAATACATGACAACATCATCTCTTGAAGCTTCTCAAGATCAAGTTTTGGTTCCTCTTAGTAAAGATCCAATTCTGACTTTCCATCTCTAAAGATAGTATACTTTTTATTTTTTATATATTTTAAATAAATATTTTATTAGGCCCACGGGCTGGCCCAGCCTTAGTCAAGCCTCACGGGCCACGGGTCTTACTTGGGCCGGGCTTAAAAGCCTCGTTTTTAAATGGGCTCTAAAAATTCTAGCCAAACCCTGCTAAATCACGGGCTGGGCTGGGCTGGCCCAACGGGCCAAGCCCATATTGACGGCTCTACTTATTAGTCATACTTATCTTAGCAACTTAGCAATTTTAGATTATATTTATTTCATTATTATGACTTATTGATTATTCATTTTCTGTGATTTTATTATCTTTTGTTGAATATCTTAGTACAATGTCATGGCTCATCTCATATTTTATGTTATTTTTCTTGAAAAACACCTTATATAGTTATGTCTTACTTGGATTAAAGAAATATTTGGAACACAATTCTATGTTTTGTGCTATGAAGACTTTATGAAGAAAAAAAAACGAAAAACTCGAAAATCCGGAAAATCCGAGAAAAACCAAGATTTAAAAAATTCGACTTTTATTGGTTTGGTCTGGTCTTTAGATTTATTAAGCCGACACAATTGGTTTGATTTGGTAATTGAAAAAACCGAACCAACCCGACCTATGTACACCCTAGTTACCAGCATTCTCTTTACGATGAGACATTATATTTTTATTGTTTTTATTTACTGCTTTCCTTATATTCATGCTTCCTTATTTCCATATTAATCTTAATTAAAAAGAAAAATCCGCCAAGGATGTGACCTTTTAAATTACTAGAACCTTTGGTCAAGTAATCTTAGGAACTTAGTGTCGATAAATGGCGTGTAAGATAGTTTGTTATTGGCAAGCTGGAAGTGGGATTCTTCCTACATCGGAAGAAAGAAGTTCCGTACCTGTCATGTGAAACACTCCTGGGACCGACCTTACTCGTACTGTGTCTGTTAGCCTCTTCATTGATCATTATGAAATAGCACATAACAGGCACGAGATTGTCTCAACAGGCACGAGACTGACTCAACAGGCACGAGATTGTCGCAACAGGCACGAGACTGACTCAACAGACACGAAATTGACTCAACAGGCACGAGATCCTAAAGTTAATTATTTTTTAACAGAAAAATCAAATTTATTTGAATTTTAAATTCAAAATTCGAATAAATAGTCGTGTCTGTTTATGAAACAAGACATCTTTTCTGAAAAGGTCTGTTGGTTGCCTATAAATACACAAGAATTCCAACGAAATGAAAAAGAAAATTACAAGTGTTATTGCAGGCTTTGTTGTATCCTGAAGAGAATCGTTTTGTATTTTCCCTAAATTAGTATACAGGCGATAACTCTTTAAGGACAGTCGATTTTCACACCTCAAAGCCAATTTTGTTTATTATTATTTTCTAACAATCTTAAAGAGTTATTCTGCTATGGAGAAATTGATGTCTGTTGTTGAGAATCCGAAGGAGTTCATCAAACTTGATCGCTTTGATGGAACGAACTTTACCCGTTGGAGAGACAATATGATATTCTTGTTGTCCGCTCTCAATATCTACTATGTTCTTGATTCTGCCTTGCCTCCGATGCCTGAGCCCACAGCAGAAGATTCTGACGTAGTCAAGGAAGAAACGAGAACATGATGAACTGTTGTGTCGCGGCCATATTCTGAATACTTTGACAGATCGACTCTATGATCTTTACTGCAATCTGAAGTCGCCAAGAGAGATTTGGACTGCTCTACAAACTGCATACCAGAATGAAAAACGAGGTATTGACAAATTCCTGGCTCTGCAGTACTTTGAATTTAAAATATTTGATACTAGGCCTATAATGGATCAGATTCATGAACTGCAAATCTTAGTATCAACACTAAGTGATCTTGAAGTTAAAATTCCTGATGCACTTCAAATAGGTGCTATTCTTTCAAAATTGCCTTCCTCTTGGAGTGACTATAGAAAGAAAATCCTACATTCTATGGATAAAATGACTGTGGAACAATTTCGTACTCACATTCAAATTGAAAGTGAGACTTGTGCTCGTGATGCTATTAGTCAGCCTTCGAGTTCCGCAGTCAATTTTGTCAGTCAGAATGATTCAGGAAGTGGGAACAAACATCTGAAAGTTTCCAAAAAGTCTTCTTTTAAAAAGAGAAAGAACTTTAGTTGTCATCATTGTGGAATAGACAAACTACAAATTTAAACTGTTCTGATCAACTCCTTAACTGATTCAGAATTTTTCAACACTGGAAAATTAATATATGAGTACATTAATTTTGGAACTTATACATGGAATCAAATGATTAGACAAGAAGAGCGAAACCAAATATTACAACAAATTATAAAACAAATATTAGAACCACATTCACGAACCAGTGATTCTTTTATTTTAAGAAAACATCAACCAACTAATAGCGAGTTCATGAATTCCTTTTTGCCAAATTCAAGTTTTCCTTTCACATAGAAGCCACAGAGCTGGGATTGACCCTGCTACAAACATCACGAATTTCCAATTGAACGCCCGGTGAGGGAGGCAAGTTTCCCATCTTGATCATAGCAGCAGCAAAATCTCCCAGGAAAACAGCACCATTATTGCTGTAGGTCGTAACAATAGCAGCAGTGGTGGTATTCCCCGTCAACACTTGATCCGAGAAAAGTATGCCCTGGTTCCTGTTTAAGTCCTGGAAGTAAACTCTGTCGAACACAGCAGGAGTTGTATCCAGTTGTTGCAAGTTGGTGTCGTTTTGGGTGACGGAGCAGTTGCATTGAAGACGTGCCGCTGGGTTAACGTTGTTGCTGTTGCACGCGGTGGCGCACCTGGTGAAACCCACCGTGTGGGCACCGGCTAGCGCCACCATTTCCCGGGCATTAAAGTTTTTGTCATTAAATTTTCTTATTTGGACGGTTAGATTGTCGAACGGAGCTGGAAGCTGAGTTAAAGCACCAGTGAAGTTGGCCGCTCTTGCATCTCTTCTCCCAAGTGCAACGTTATAGCCTTGTCCTCCTAGCTGTCAAATACACAACAGAATTTTAAGTTATTCCCTTAATGACATAGTTTTATAATTTACACAAGAATCATGACATGTTTAAAAACATAATTCGAAAAGTATTTCTTTGTTAAACTCCACAAGTTCACATAAGATGAAGCGATGGAGTAATAGTAACATAATTACAAAAGTTGCAACAAACCTACTATCATATATTAAAATTCATTGATCGTGCAAAAATCTTTAATATTATGTGTGTGTATAATTGAAATCTTTAAGGTAGTTTTTGCTGATAATGTATATTTAATTGCTGGCCTAATAATTCAATTTTTGGTTAAACAATTAATTTGCTTTTTTTATTGCAAAATTAGTCCTGATTGTCAAAGTATTGACATACCTTACTGTTGGTGGAAGGCAACTCTTAATCTAGTA